CGAAGATTCAGACAAAACGTATACACACTTATGATATATATATATATTATATATATATTATATATATATATATTATATATATATTATAGAAGAAGAGAGAGAGAGAAGAGAGAGAGAGAGAGAGGAAATACTATACTAATTAAGTAATATGTTGGCTGCCGTAGTGGCGATATAGCGTGCAAACGTGCGCTTACAATTTTGCGTACTAGAAGAAAATGTAATAGAGGAGAGAGGAGGGCGGGAGGAACGATCTAAAGAGATGTCGGCGGCATGTGTGTATATTTTGCAACTTAAATTTAAGAGCCCAATCACCAGCCCATTTACCTATGAATACAGTTTGTTAAACTAGGAAGATGTCCTGATTCAATGGAGGTTGTTGCATATACAGCTGAAAAATGTAGGAGAGATATTACAAGAATTATTAGTTGCAATATTTATTATCTTTTATACAGTTAATAATTATAACATACAATATTCAATATATTTCACACTACATTCAATAGAAAAGTTGATAAATGTAGAGAACGAAGAACTGATCCCATATCGCGGACATTCAAGATTTTCCAAGTCTTGTAAAGCATTTCAACTGTTTACTGCGTGCTAGAATAAAAATTTCCAAAGTCAGTGTTTTTTTGCTGGAAAAATTGTTTTTTTATTATTGAAATTTCGTAAATAACACTAGTAACGAAAAATTAAAAAGGTTTCTCGTGTTAATATACAAACCACAAGTATTAATACAGAATTACGGGGAAACAACTAGAGACTTTTTTACTATTATACTGCTAGCGATCCAACGATTTTAATTTGTGTAAAGCGCAACATGAACAACAAACGTTAATTTTACCCAGCATATCCAGTCCTAAATAATTTAATATATTTTTTCCAGAATTTATTATAACAAGTAAAAACTTTCTATAATAAAATGTTTCGTTCAAATATTTAATAAAGTATAAGAATTTCTCTGGTAATGCAAAATGGATAAAGCTTCAATTTATTTTTAATAAATCAGTAGGCAAATAGATGTATTTTATGAGAGATTTAAAATGAATTTTAATAGTAATAATTTGACGATCGTGAACAAGAATTCATGATAAGAGGTGTGTGACACAGCAACTAGATGATGTCGCACAAGTCAATAGAAATCAAATCAACTTTCAAAAAAGAAATTAAAAATTCAATGGTGTTGTTGTACCTGGACGTAGAATTAGCCACAGACGTCCGACACATGTTTCATGAAATCCAGCGCAACGCCATTGGTCCAGCCGAAGCCCGACTGCACGGTGTCTCTCCGCCTTCACCACGTACTGCCGAACAACTCCGCGTCGTACTGTAGGCAAAGCGACATGTAACTGGTTATCCTCGCACACTCCGTTCGCCGAAGGCAGCTGGAGGGGCACTCAACGTTCTCGAAATCTCGTCCGATCTCGGAAGGCCTTGAGGTTGGAGGCGATCTCAGTGCTGCGCCAGCTCAAAGGCAGCTCCTGGCGCGTGGGCTCCCTGCGTGTCCTGGCGGCCGCGGATTGACGTGTGCTGGAGGGAGGCACGCGTTTGGGCGGTCCCACTGCTCCCGCTGTTCCTTCAGCGTGTCGGATGCCGCCGGGAACGCCAGCAGGTCGAGGCCTTTGAGGTATGGCGCTGCTTCTGCGCCGATCTGCACCGTGTTTGGCCTGGCCGGCACATCACAAACGGTTAGCAAACCGCTTTCTCGAAGACCTACACAGCTACGGCTACCCTCAAGAGAACGCACCAGGGTCGTAGCCTTGGTCCACAGAGGAGCCATGTTGAAGGACTAGATACGTGCGCTGCTTGATTGTTGAGAAGATCGTAGTGAAACCAGAGCCTAATTCGTCGTTCCACAGCCCGCGCGTAAATCGCTTCTTGGAGCTGCGTCGCAATCTGCTTGTAAAGCGGCTTTTCAACATAACCCAACTCGCGTGCAGCTGGGACAGGAGGTCAGCTGATAGTACACGAAGGCGTTGATGTCCACCGACATGTACTTGGTGTGGAGGCCGTCAGATGCCTGCGCCCATTTTGTTGGTGAGAAAAGGGGCATGGGGCTGGGAGTAAGGCGAGCGCAGGAAAGCGCTGGTACCTTCGTTCGGTGTCCGTCAGTGATGAACCAGCGCTGGAGAAATCCCACCCGGACTCGGCGGCCGATTTGAGGTGAACGATAGAACTCTTCCTTCCGGTCTCGTCGGCCGAAGATCTCCGCCGTTGTGTAGTCTCCCTGCGACCAATTGGACAGTCAGCACTACCTCCATCGAGCATGGCATCTCCGTCAAGAGCTATGAGAGCGTACCAGTAGATCTCCGGCGGGGCCCTTGGACGGGGCGTGTAGTGGCGAGGGTTATTTTCCGTCCTTGTTCATTGCAGCGTGCGTGTTTTCAACCAGAAATCACAGCTCGCGCTCCAGCAAGGCAGTGGTCGCGCACGGAAGCCGCGTCCTTGTGGCCTGCGTAGTACGTAGACCATGGGCGCCTGACGCAGCGGGGGCTGCGTGCGTTTGCAGGTAGTAGACCGCGCGCCGTTGGATGTCCGTAGTTGTCGAGAGGTAGAGAAAGTTCTCACAGATGCCCTTGATGGTGGAGGTCATGTCGTAGATGAGGCCGCGCACCACAGTACGTGTCCAGTAGTAGAGCTCCGGAAGCGCCGCCGGCACCACGAAGTGGTTGGGCACGTAGATGAGTGGAGTAGCGGTCGCGGTGGTCCTTGATGGGTTTCGTTGACCTTGCGCTGAGCTCTTCAGATTGACGTTGACTCGAGGCCCAGTCCGCGCAGCTGCGGGTCGGCGATGCGGCCAGCAGAGCGGGCTGCTCACCCATTCTCCAGTCGCGGCCACCAGCTCGTCTCCGTAGCGAAGTGCGCGTCACGAAGCTCTGGATTGGCGTTGTGGGCGTTTCTTGTAGGTCTGCATGAAGGCATCGAAATCTAGCAGCGTGTCGGCGGCGACTGCAGGAGTTTCTTGTCATAACGTCTTGGAGTCGGTGTAGAGATGAGCGTTCTGGATCACGCGCGGAGGTCTCCCTGGCAGTATGACTTTGGCTGAAAAAAAAATCATTTACAATGTACCTGCAAACACGAAAAAGCGATGTGCTTCTCTTGCGGAAATTATTTTTTTATTCATGTGGTGTGTCACTCTGAGCAGTTGTGAATAAAGGCGTTGCAAAGTCGATTTTTTCGTATCTTTTAACCGGCAAACTGAAATTTAATGTGTAGTTTTTTATGCTTATTATTCGTTTAGTGTTATTTTCTATTAATTACCGCTACGGTTTCTTCTCCCCAATTGCTATATTTTGCTGGTAAAATTCATATTCCTGTTTCTTATGGTCCATCTCTTTTGAAAAATGTTCTCCATCGTCACAAATGAGAAGGAAATATTTTGCGATGCTACTATGGTTTTTATTTTCTTGCTTTACGCACTTACGTCATATTGCGTCAGAAATGCCATTTTTTCGACAGAAAAATCGTCTACTGCGAACGAAACACTGGATAAATCTCGTTTTTCTCTGTTGTAATTGCTTTCTCTCACATTGACGCCATAATTCATATATTATAGGGTCTCTGATACTGAGAACATTGATTGAGTCTGTTTTGTCCACTATACCTAACCTAACGCCGAAACGCCTGGACGTTTTATTCCAAATGTGATGTATTCCTAATGAATCTAACTAACGCTGAAGGAGCTATGAATTTTAAATGGATATTTCACTTCGATTGTATGAAGCGTCCGACACTTCAAAATGCTATCAAAAATGGGTGCAATTTTTTTTTAATAAACTTGGATGAAAACGCTAAAAAATCGTTTAATGCCTCATTTCGTTGAAATAACTGAAATTTTCGAAAATTCAAACTTTCTATTATTCAGCATTTTCCTTCAACAATAATGATAGAAATTTTTAAAATAATCATGTTCAGACAGTTTCTGAAGTTACTCACGCAAAATGTTGCGAAAATAATCCTTTTTGTGCAAGTTTGTGTGAAAAAATAGATGAATTTTTTTCATTTTTTTCATGAACAGCCTTTACATTTGTTATTGAAACATGGCAAAGTACTGTTATAAACAGTGCACAAGCCCGTTTCGATAAATTCTCCGTATATTAGAGACCTTGCGAACAAAACGTTAATAATATGATATAAGTTTTTAATGATTGTTATTCTAAATAATCTTGCACATTTTTAAAAGTGAATAGTTGTGTAATTCCTCCTGGATGTTGATGAATTAATTATAATTTCTTAAAATGTGGCTTCAGAATGTAGGCTGGAAAAATATATTTTTTAGATGTTTGTCCTTGCTTATCGAAAAACGGTAAACAAATCCATCCCCACTTTTTTTTCTATTATACGTGTTGAACTTTGAATAAAGATAAATAATTGAAAACTAAGACATAATGTTATGCGTACATTATTTTTTGTTTTTCGAGCTCGTAACGAACGTGAGTATATAATTTTCTCCTGTAAAGGATCAAATGTCTGGGAATCCTGGAAATGAATGCCAGAAAACTTTTAGTTTATGGAGAAACAGTATAAAATGACTCACTTGTTACGCTATTCCAAAATAATTGTTTAAAATATTAGAACTGACATTATTCTAACCAACACACTGAATATCCTGTGAGGTACCTTCCGCAATATGTCTATAGCAACAAGGGCAAGACTATAGCAACAAGTAAATAACAGAGGTTTATCAGGTTGGAAAAAAACTGTGAAAGTAAGGTAGTTTTTTATATCTATCCGTCATTTCTATCACAGATGTATTACTAAACCTAAAGTGAAAACGGTAAACTCGAATGAGAAACTTTCCAATTAGACCGCGTCAAATAAAAAATGATAAGAATTCTCAAGACTAAACACTTGGCTATATTTTGAGACCGTGTGACAAGGAACTTTGATTGACATGTCGTTGGTTCAAAAAAACGTGAACTATAGCCTGGCAAGGCTGTGCCCAAAGAAATGCGGAAGCGATGTTTGCGTATTTATATTATTATTATTATTAAATTAATAATAATAATAATCAAATAATAATTAATAAAATGATAATAATAATGATAATAATAATGATAATAATAATAGGAACATGTGGTATTTCTATGTTTGAAAAGTGGTTCCCACATTCCACACTTGCCCAGACCCGGAGTGTGGTTCACGGCTGTCGCAGCGAGCGGAGGACGCGTAGAAGTCGGCGGCGGTGGTGGCGGCGGTGGTGGGACGCTGGGGCGGCGGCCGCAAGCACGCGCAGCACGCCGCAGCGACGCTCATCAAGTTCCAGAGGGGCGGCATGCGAGAGGGGAACTGGTCGCACTCGGACGGCGGCTCCGCTTTCATATAGTGGCGGCGCGCCCGGAGCGGGCCGCCGCCCTCGCCCCGCCCTCACCCCGACCCTCGCGCTCGGTCCCCGGGCTATATATAATTTTTTTATGCTCCTACACCGCACAAATGCGTGCATTTTTTCTAACTTTTCCAAATTTCAATAATTCAGAGAGGTCAATTAGAATTAGGCCCCAGCCACTTTGAATCGTTTTTTGCTCTATGTATGGAAGAATTTAAAGGAAAAATTTGAAACCTACATTTTAGAAATTGTAATAAATTTCATCAACATTAAGGAGGAATTACCAGAAAACTATTCATTTTAAAAAATGTGCAAGATTATTTAGATCACATATCATTAAAAACATATATCAGTATTATACGTTTCTTCGCAAGTTTCTAATATACAGAGAATTTATCGAAACCGGGACTTGTGCACTTTTTATAACAGTACTTTGCTCTGTTTCAAAAGAAAAAATGTAGAGCTGTTCATGAAAAACAATTGAAAAATTCTCTATTTTTCACACAAACTTGCACAAAAAGGATCATTTTCGCAACATTTTATGTGACCGTTCTTCAAGGGCTGTCCCTGAAGAGATTTTATTAAAACATTTCTATCATTATTGTTGAACGAAGATGCGGAAAATGAATAGAAGTTTGAATTTTTGAAAATTCAGTTATTCTAAGGAAAATGAGGCTTAAACGATTTTTAAGCGTTTTCCAATCCCTCCGAGTTCAAAGTTTATTAAAAAAATTGCACCCATTTTTGATAGCATTTTGAAAGTGTTGACGCTTCATACAACCGAAGTGGAAATATCCATTTAAAATTCATAGCTCCTTCAGGTCGTTTAGATTCATTAGGAAACATTACATTTGGATAAAACCGTCTCAGCGTTTTCGGCGTTAGGTTAGGTTATAGATGGACAAACACAGACGTCAATCAATTTCTCAGTATCAGAGACCCAAAAATCGCGGATTATGGGTCAAAGTGTGAGAGAAAGCAATTTACTACACAGAAAAACGAGATTTATCCTTTGTTCGGTTTTGACAGTAAGGCATTTTCTGTCGAAAAATTGTCATTTCCGCCGCAATATTACGTAGTGCAGTAAAGCAAAAAAATAAAAACCAATAAGTAGCATCTCGGCAAAAAATTTCTTCTCATTTGTTACGATAGAGAACAGATTTTTAAAAGAGAGGACCATAAGAAACAGGAATATGAATTTTAGTCCCAGCAAAAAGTACTAGCAATTGGGAGAAGAAAACGTAGCGGTAATTAATAGAAAAATAAACCTAAACGAATATATAAGCATAAAAAATCACCCATTAAATTTCAGTTGCGGTTAAAAGATAACGAAAAAATCGACTTTGCAACGCCTTTATTCACAACTGCTCAATGACACACCACATGAATAAAAAAAATTAATTCCCAAGAAGCACATCGCTTTTCGTGTTGCAGGTACATTGTAAATTGATTTTTTTTTCAGCCAAATCTACTGCCAGGGAGACCTCCTGCGCGTGATCCAGAACGCTCATCTCTACACCGACTCCAAGACGTTTATCGACAAGAAACTCCTGCAGTCGCCCGCCGACACGCTGGCAGATTTCGATGCCTTCATGCAGACCTACAAGAACGCGCCCACCAACGCCCAGATCCAGAGCTTCGTCGACGCGCACTTCGCCGACGGAGACGAGCTGGTGGCCGTCGACCTGGAGGACTGGGTGGAGCAGCCCGCTCTGCTGGGCCGCATCGCCGACCCGCAGCTGCGCGACTGGGCCTCGCAGCTCAACGTCATCTGGAAGAGCCTCAGCCGCAAGGTCAACGACACCATCAAGGACCACAGCGACCGCTACTCCATCATCTACGTGCCCAACCACTTCGTGGTGCCCGGCGGCCGCTTCCGGGAGCTCTACTACTGGGACACGTACTGGGTGGTGCGCGGCCTCATCCTCAGCGACATGACCTCCACCATCAAGGGCATCTTGGAGAACTTCTTCTACCTGCTCGACAACTACGGCATCATCCCCAACGGCGCGCGCGTCTACTACCTGCAACGCACGCAGCCCCCGCTGCTCACGCCCATGGTCTACGAGTACTACCAGGCCACCAAGGACGCGGCCTTCGTGCGCGACCACATCGCCTTGCTGGAGCGCGAGCTTGATTTCTGGTTGAAGAACCGCACGCTGCAAGTGAACAAGGACGGCAAAACCTACACCCTCGCCCACTACTACGCCCCGTCCAAGGGCCCGCGCCCGGAGTCCTACTGGTACGCTCTCATAGCTCTTGACGACGATGATGCATGCTCGATGGAGGTAGGTGGTGACTGTCCCAATTGGTTCGCAGGGAAGACTACACCAACGGCGAGATCTTCGCCGACGAGGACCGGAAGGAAGAGTTCTACGTCGACCTCAAATCGGCCGCCGAGTCCGGGTGGGATTTCTCCAGCCGCTGGTTCATCACTGACGGCACCGACGAAGGTACAAGCGCTTTCCTCCGCTCGCCTTTACTCCCAGCCCCATGCCCCCTTTTCTCACCAACAAAATGGGCGCAGGCAATCTGACGGCCATCCACACCAAGTACATCGTCCCGGTGGACATCAACGCCTTCGTGTACTATCACGCTGACCTCCTGTCCCAGCTGCACAGCGAGTTGGGTGATGTTGACAAAGCCGCCTCTTACAAGCAGATTGCGACGCAGCTCCGAGAAGCGATTACGGCGGTGCTGTGGAACGACGAATTAGGCTCCTGGTTTGACTACGATCTTCTCAACAACAAGCAGCGCACGTATTTCTACGCATCAAATATGGCTCCTCTGTGGACTAAAGCATACGACCTGGTACGTTTACGCCAGTGAATCAATTTTTTTATGTATTTTGCGCGCAAAGAGAGGGATAAAGAGTTATGTTCTATGTGTTATTGCCAGGCCAACACGGCGCAGATCGCGCGGAAGGTGACCGCGTACCTCAAGAGCCAAATGTTGTTGGATTTCCCGGGCGGGATCCCCATGTCGCTGAAGAACAGCGGGCAGCAGTGGGACCTGCCCAACGCGTGGCCTCCCCTCCAGCACATTGTCATCCGCGGCCTCCAGGACACGCAGGAGCCCAGCGCGCAGGAGCTGGCCTTCGAACTGGCGCAGCACTGGATCGCCTCCAACTTCAAGGCCTTCCAGGACACACACGAAATGTTTGAGAAGGTATGTGCTCCTCCATCTCTCAGTTGGTTTTTGCTGGTTGAGTTTTTGACGGTTGCTGAAGTTTCTCTTCTTTCAGTACGACGCTGAGTTGTTCGGCAAATATGGAGGTGGGGGAGAATATGTGGTACAGTCGGGCTTCGGCTGGACCAACGGCGTCGCTCTGGACTTCCTCAACATGTGGTCTGACCGTCTCGTCGCCAACACAACTTCCAGGTACGATAGCTTTCCCTCATTCTTTGATATAGTTATGTTGCATCTATTCATGTAACAACCAAATTTGTGCCAGAGAAACTGGTATTTTAATGTTCTACTAATAATTTTCTATTAGTTATCAATTCTGGCTGAGGTAGGGGTCTCTACTAATTTCTTATTTATACTGCCGATAATTTACTTTCTCATTACTTTCTGTAAAATGGAACTGTAATTATACACATTCGTTTGTGATTGTAACAACTGATGTTACATCATTATATAATAATACCACTAACACTTTATTATAATTCTATTTCTTTAGCTCAGAGTGACGAGGACGTCACTTAAGTCATCATATTGTGAACTGGAGAATTTTTTTGACTTGGCATCTAATTCCAGCTCCAGTTACAGCACTTAATACTCATCACATTTATTCACTGCGCTTAAAAAAACCTAACAAGAATTTATGAGACCTGAGATTTCAAATGTAATTATTTTTATTTCCAGAAACTCAATGAATTTTATTGTTTCTACCTACAGTACCATTGTATGTGTATGTTCTTCTGTACATTTAAAAAATACTGAGTTGGCTACAGTTATTTGAATTATTATGTATATAACAACAAATGAGACAATGTTTCAGATTAAGATACTTTATAATCAGTAAGCTTGTTATCTTTTGGGGATGTAAATAAACTGAATCAGCATCTGTATAACTGAATAAAATATCTTCACTTATTCCATTTCCCTTATCCTCTTAGCGGGAAACCTACTTTTTATTATAAAAATTGAATATGTAAAACTTTGAACTTCACTGAATTGTTTTGAAATTACTTGAATGAATGATTAAGACTGCCTTTCTTCGTTTGTTTTTTTATTATTGTAAGGTTCATTGATCTGTTTGGCGCAGACATTCACTGCATAACAGTCTGTATCCTCTTAGCTGGCAACTTACTTTTTATTTATAATCATTTGTACAAAACGTGTACAATTGTTTAATAAAGATGGTTATGCTGTGAATGTGTGGCTCAAATGAATGGACCTTACAAGAATAAAAAATGCTGAACTGGACCCTTGTATTACTTCTTGTCATAAATGTAGCATCCGAGTAGGTGGAGGCAAATGTAGATCACTTCACTGGTAATGCTGCTGCTATTGCGTATCACTAGGAATCCACAACTGGCCCGTCATTCTCAAACGCCTAGTACAAAGATGTTTAGAACAAGGTATAGGTTAGTTTCGCCTGGGGCAAAACTCGGGAGGGAGGTGTAATTTCTTTGATTTCAATGTTAAGAGATTTAGTTCAAGTAATTTCAATTTTAGTACCAGAGTACAACCACTTCAGAGATATTTTCATTGATATAATAACTAGCATGTTTGATAATCACCTTTTCACACCTACCATAATCATTGGAAATTAAATGGAAAAGTTATCAAAATTATATTTTCAACGGGTATTACGTATGGGATAATTCAACAGACTTTTCCCTTACAAGAGAAAATTTAATTATGATGAATAGTACTATTGTTAATAATATCAGGTTTTACTCATGCTATTACCTTGAGTACTATACTTACTTTACAAAATCTCTCAAGCAATTTGCAAAATTTGAAAAATAATTTAAAAACAGAAATCTGACTTTAAAAAACTAAATATGAACATTGCAGGCATTTTTGGGGTGCAAAAGGGATGACAACCTCCTCAAAAGTTATCTCTGAAGGTTTCTTTTTACTCTATGAATGGTTAATAAAAAAGAAATGTATTCAAAGACGGAAACGTGTTTAGGACACGGTGTCTCCCGGAGAGCCAAATACAGTAACTTCTGACTCCGACCGAAACCTCTGAAGCCTACGCTCTCATTTTACCAATTATATACGGGGATGAAACATTTAATATTCCTCGTGAGTTCTCAAACTTGTCCTGAGAGGAGTCAGTAGCTATGAGTATAGTATCATTAGCACTGAAGGAATTCTCTAAAGAGGATTTAACTGTAAGTGAGGAGGGGTGGTTATTTTGAGTGTCTTCAATGACGCGTTTGATAGGTGTTACGAAGTCTTCCATATTTCTCTCTCTCTCTCTCTCTCTCTCTCTCTCTCTCTCTCTCTCTCTCTCTCTCCTCTCTCCTTTTTTTTTTTTTTTTTTTTTTAGACTTCTTCCACATTATTTGTGTTGTGTTCCTTAAAGGTTTGGTTGATCAGGAGTCAGTCTGGAGGTATCTTTTATTGGTTATAAGGTAGACTGTTGTCATTAGTTGGGATTTCATTGCTTTTAGCGTCTTATTTTCTTCTAATGAGTAGAAAGTACAGATTTAGAGGGTACTGATAGATCAGTTGTGTGGATTTCTTTTGTGTGGTTATTGTGACTGAATATTTGCAGCTTCACTTTTTTTTCGATTCTGGGATCTGGCATATCACAGTACTTTTCACTAATGAGTTCAGATTCCATGAGAGCACTGCTTAAATTGGTAGTCTTTGTTGATTAGGAGTTTTATATGAAGGGTAAGTGCTCTGTTTGGTGACAATTAAAGCAAGACATTTCATCAGTTGTAAAACATATCCAATATGTTAAGCCATCGTAATACACAATAGTAGATTCAGTTAGTAGACTGACATCTTCAGGGGCAACATACACTTGTCTGCGGAAACTCATAATATGAAAGAAACCCTGCTTTTACAAATGAAATTTTTGATGCCAATTTGATATAGGTTTGTTCCAGCAACCAATCACGGACAGTTTTTCGTATTCTCTCTCTGCGCATGCACGAGTGCAAACTAAGTCATAAATGAATCCTCGAATTGGGATCTGCTGGAACAAGTAGGTACAAAAATCAGTCTCTAGGTGCCGCTGCTTTCGTTTCATCGACAGTTGCAGAATTATCCGTCAGATGTCATCATTTTCGTATCGCGTGCAAAAACCAAAGCTACCTGGTCCTGGTCAGTTCCTGGTATTTACTTGCGCTTTACGTTTCTACATATTTGCTCGCTTATTATTTTCTTGACCTCGCTATTAATTACGGCTTTTGAACCTGGTAAACTGTGACTTGTGCTATTGTTTTTTATTATTATTATTTTGGATTTCGGTTAATTGTATTTGTTTAAAATGAGCGATAATAGCAGTTGGGCAGATTCTTCCGAATCTTCCATGTCTTCGGATGAAGATTTAATTGCCATTTTCCCCAGGAAGAGGACAAAGATCGAAGCAGATGTCGAAATGGTAGTGCCTCGGTACGACGAGGAAATTTTTCTCCCATTTTAGGGTGAGCCGCAGTATTGCGGAGAGCGAGTATTTCACTCACCAGGCAGGAGGGCATGGGAAACTGTTTCCCTTCAAATGCATTTTAATAATGTAGTGGTTTGTGGGCCACCAGAAAGACAGTTTTTGAGATGTGGCCGATAGATTTCGCATTACGTTTAGCGCCCTCCACAGGGTGCTATATAAAACATTTTTTTTCTTAACCTTTCCTCGAGTATTATAACCTGGCCAAACATAGAGGAAAAGAGAGACATTTTGGAGTACTTCCAAAGAAAGGATTTCCAGGAGTTATTGGGATAATTGATGGCTCTCACATCAAAATTGACAAGCCCCAAAATGATCCTATTTAAATAGGAAAAAGTTTTATTACATTCAAGTAAGTAACAGGAACAATTTTTATAATTGCAATTTCATTACAGCAATAAAATTTAATTATATAATTTATTAGGTCAGATTATGTATCATTTATTTTTTTAAATGTCTGTGCTAGCATCAATTGTTTAACAACCTTTTCTCCTTTCCTTGTAGTTGCAAGTGGTCTGTGACCATGAGAAACGGATCAAAGACGTGCTTGTTGGTTTCCCAGGGTCGGTTCATGATGCACGTGTCCTTAGGTCACCTTTTATGAATAACTTTCATGATTTATGTGTAGAAAACTACATTTTAGGGGAAACTGCATTCCCATGTCTGCCGAATTGGATGACTCCATATAAAGAGAGAGAGGGGTTATGCCACTTGCAGTTGTGCGATATAACAGATTGTTGTGTTCAAACAGATACTTGGTTGAACATTGCTTTGGACTGTTAAAACAAATGTTAAGGTTGCTCTACTAAGTTAAGGGTGGAATTCAGGGACATAAAAATGGTGGTGCACACCATTCGTGCATTTTGTGTACTACATAATATTGCTCTTGAAGATGAGACAGAAGTAGATGAAAATGTTGTAGATGATGTTTATGAGGAAGATAATGGAAACAATGAAGACGTGGCTGATGATGAAAATGGCATCCAGAGGAGAACCTACAATTACAATTACAATAAATAAGAACAATTACAATTACAACAACAAATAATTAGAATAAATTACAATTTATTTATAAGAAAAGTTACTGAACACGCTATCCCTAACACCCCTATATCCTGGTTAAATTACCTAAGTATAAATAATTTCTAATAAGCTGAAGCAAACTGCTGGTGTAACTGCACTGGATGTTACTATTCTGAAAGTTATTTAAGAGGCCAGCAAATATTAAAATAATTGAGATCACTGAAGTTCAGAAACTCGTAAAACAATAAAGGAAAAAACCTAACCCATTTCCAACACTTTCATGAAATCTAACAATTGATATAGTTTAATGTACACAATTCTGTATCTCAGGGGTATTGGGCTTTGTCATTCATGATCTTGCAGGAGAGGGATTTAAAAAAAGTGTCATTTGAACGCAATTTTACGTCATGTTTTGTGCAGTTCTCAACTTAGTTAAAAAGGTATTTTGAACATAGTTCTTAAAACCTCCAGGAAGAGCAATGAAACTATACTGAGTATTAAAATCACCCATTTAAGCAAACTATGACAGTAAGACCCTTTGTCACCATGATACAACAGAATTGTGTATAAAGTTACTGAAGGAGAAATGCAATATTACATGGGGTAATACAAACTTTATTATTTTAAATTTACATCATTTAATATTTCAGGAGAAACACATTCACTTTTCTCCAATGCTTTTTTTAATCTATTGTTTTCTTCAAGCAAATATTTTTTTTCTTTAACATTTCAAGCTTTTCCTTGAAATATGCTTTTTTTTATTTCGTCCATTTCCAGCCTTTTAGCATAATATGCGACCTTATCAACCCGCATGCCTTCCACGACCTCCACCACTGTTTTGCGCCCTCCACCACTGCGTCTCTGCTTTCTTGAGAAAGCATAGGTAGAGGTAGAGGAACTGGTGGGGGTGCGCAAACAATTGCTGGTGCTGCCGCTTGATTCATTGTTTGCTGCTCGTGCTGGCTGCATTGCTGCTGCTGCTGCTGCACCTTGCCCCTAAGCAGTCGGCAACAATGTTGTTGCCAGCAGGAACAGTGTCCACTGTTGAGGCACTTAGGAGGCTCTCAGGCCTCATACTCCTCCTCCTTCCAACAACTTCCTCCATCTGCTCCGCATATTCAAATGTTTCTCGGCCCCTGCCCGTCGATGACTGGTTGTCCACATATTTGAAATTCCTTTCAAGAACCCGCCATCTGTTCTCACAGTGGTGAGGGTCATATTTTTCCCCTGCTCCATCAGGGAGTTTGATATTTCATCCCACATCTTCAAATATTAAAATTTGCTCACCTTTGCTTTGAAATCTTTAAATGTATTAATCAACAAGATTGTGTCTTGACGACACCACATCTTGTACTCTTGCTCCTCTCCACTTCTGGCCTCATTTCTTATAATGAGAAATTCAGAAATTCCTATTAG